GGCAGCCCGCGGGGTGCAGAGGGGGGTCCGTGCGCGGAGCTGCTGGGGGAACCCTCTAAGTGACACTGTCGGGGCGGGGGTCCCGCCTTCTGCGCAGTCGGCCCTCCCCCGTGGCCTTCTCCTCGTGAAAGCATCACTTTATTGGGCTCACGTGTGCTGGGAGTTGGTGGAGGCGGTGATAAAATGGATACTTGGAGGCTCTTCCTGTTCCTTCCCTTCCCCTCGAGGCTTCTGTTTAGACGGAGAGAGGGAGGGTCCTATCTCAGATCTCTCTGGGTGACCGCTGCTCGCTGCGTGGTCAGGAGGATGGCAACAAATATTCCTTGTCTGCCTGACTTATCACGGACAACATTTGCTGAGCAAATACTGCCCTGCTTGCCTGAGTCCAAGTGCGTGGAGAGGAGAATGCGTACTGTCAGAGAGGTGGCGAGTGGGGTGTGTGGGCAGCTGCCCTCTCCTGGGACTGGCCTGGGCAGAAATGCTGGCCCAGCCCTGGGAGTCTCCACCAGCTAGCACCCCCACCCTCAGGGGCCCCATTCAGCACTTATTTTGAGGGACCAGCATCTGCTGGGCTTGGGATCCTAGGGATCATTCAGTTTAATAGCTCCCTGTCGTTTCCTGGGGCTTACGGACCAGTGGCCTGTGGTCCCCCAGTAGGGGAGGTCCCTGCACTACAGATCCCTGCAGTGAGCCCTCTCCTTGGGGCCTGCCAGGTCTGTGGAGAGCTCAGGGTCAGGTGCTGGCAGCCAGGCAGAGGTCACTCAGGGACAGGTTTGCTGCTTTCTGTCTGAGCAGGGGATGCACAGAGGTGGGGCACTCCTGTCAGAGCTGGTGGCAAGCACACAGCCCTGGGATCCTCTGTCTTGCACATCTGTGGGGCCTGAGATGGCTCCTGGGTCAACAGGTCCCTGGCTAAGAGGTTTTGGTGTGGTGTGGTGGCAATGTCTGGCTCTGTACTGGGAACAGGTGGCCCCAGGGCTTCGTTTTCTGCCTTCGTACAAGCCAGGTCCTTCCCTGCAGCCTCTGAGAGTGGTTACACCATCCTCTTTCCAGCCGGCCTCTCCCACCCGACATGGTCTCCCACCAGCATGTCATTCCCCTTTTGGCTTTTGCCTTGATCTCCATACCTGGTGCTGTTCTCTCTGTCAGAGTCGTAGTCTGGCACCTTCAGGCCTCTGCACAAGTGTCCCTGGAGAGGCTCTCCTGGTGACCATCTGAGGCGACGGGCATCCTTCCCTTCCCCCCTGTGTTATTTCACATATTCTCCTTCCAGTCAGCCACCTCTCTCTGAAGCTAGCTTCTGACCCGCTCACTACTCTGTTTTGCGGCTGTCCCTGCCAGTACCTGTGAGCTAGATGTGAACAAGCACCTCCCTGTCTTATGTGTCCCCTGTGGGGTCCCAGTGCCCCATGGACATCTGTGGAGTCACCGAGTGGACGAGTGAGAGGAGAAAACGAGGTTTAGGAAGATTGGTCCAAAGGTCAACCAGTATGCCCCTGTGATACGAGCCTGTCGGGTCCATGTGATGCCTGTATGGCTGTACTCCTCCTGCACCTGGGGCACTGAAAGTGCAGCCTTGGGTTCAGGGGACTTCTGTGGGCTTCCAGCAGCCCGGGCCGGGTCACAGTGAGACGAGCCTGCTCTCTGCTCAGCTCTATGTCACCCCCAACCACTCCATATGCTTTTCTCTGCCCTTCTGAGCCAGGGAGGGGTCCACCCACCTTGGAAAGTACAGGGTTTCTGCACGAGTCATAACTTCTTGATTGGCACTCTGGTTCAGTCTCATTTCTTGCTAAAGTGTTAGTGGTTTTCCCCCTAGACATTCATAGTGGTGGCTGGTGTGCAATGAATGTGTACTCTAGCAGTTACTGCTCTGTGCCTTCTTGTTCCCCTGCACAGATGGGTACACTGAGGCCCAAGGCGATGAGTCAAGGCCCCAGCCTGCCCCGGCTCAGAGCTCTGTCCACGTGGGACATACCAAATGTCAGACCTGCTCAGGAGGAGTGTCAATTTCCCTAGAGTTCTTCTTACCTTTGTCTTGAGGACGCAGGCCCCATACCCCTGCAGCCCCAACCAATTCCCTGTCTCTCTTCCCTCTGCTCCCTACCCCTCTGTGTCCTGGACACTCACCCCTACTCCCATGTGGAAGACAGGTACTTGTCCCCAAAGCTGCCTGCACCTGTGTCTGTCCCTAAGGGGGACACCTGTACCTGCCTCTGGGGTGGCTGGGAGGACCATAGCCACTTTTGTTCAATACTGCAGGCCCAGCAGGCAGTTGTCGGCTGAGGAGGGGCCCCCCCCAGGTGTGGCCTGACTCAGGGTGTGTCTGAGGCTCTGGGGACACAGGGCTGGGAGTGTGGGGAGCTGGGATTCGGCCCCACCAGCCAGTGTGTGGAAGCCTACACTGTCACTCCTGCCTGTGGGGTCTTGATCTGGGGATCATGTGCCTGGCCCACTCCTCTGACAGGGACGGGGCTGAGACCATTGGCAGTCATGAGACGGGGTCAGCACTGCCCCCCCAGCCCGCTGAGGGCCCACAGCTCTGGTGGGCTGCTCCTTCCAAGGGGCACCCTGCCAGAGGGTGAAAGCAAAGCCATGGCATGGCCCCTGTGGCCCATGTGGGTGTCTGCCACTCTGGGGCAGCAGCAGTTTTGCTAAGTGTGAGGTGGGAGCCTGGGCTGGGGTCCCTGCATATCACTCTCCTGTTTCGTGGGCCAGTGCCGTGTGTGGGGAAGGTGCGCATCCTGGGAGCAGTGTAACAGTGCCGGCCTGGAGGGTGCTGTCCTGAGGGCTCTGTCCTGCTCTCCCACTCTGTAGATGAAACTGAGGCGATGCTCGGGTGAGGTTCTCCATTCTGGGAGGAATCTGAGCTGGGTGGAGTGGAGGGTCCTGGATGCAGTCTGCGGATGCGACAGCAGGTGCCCGCGCTGCCTGGGCCTGCTGCCTGAGCACTGGGAAGAGCTGCCCCTCTGAGCTCTGCACTTGGGTCTGCAGGGCCCTTGGCTGTACAGGCTGGAAGGGGCCTGCTGTGTCTCCCACAGTCTCCACACTTTCATCCTGGGTGGTGGGGCTGCAGAGCAAATGATCACAGGGTGTGGTGCCCTGAGGCTGTGGCAGGTGGCAGAGCCTCTGTGGCCCAGTGTTGCTGGCTGGCTGGCTTGTCCCCACCCCTGGGTGTCTTTCACCCCATGCATGTGGTCAGGGACGGTCTCCTGAGCTCTGTCACCCCATCCCCCTGCTCTGCTTCGCTGTGGCTGGGTGACCTCTGGGCCTCAGTTTCCCTGTCTGTCTGCCGCACACTGCCCCATCACCTGATGGCAAGGAGGGTGGCATAGCCATCTGTCTCCCCATGTCCTTCCCTCTGCTCAGTGCCCAGAGGCTGTGGTTGCCTGGGGGATAGTGCCAGGGAGGCTGAGGGTCATGGTGAGTGGGGTTTCCCATGGCAGGAGCAGTCCACCTTCCTTCTGCCCCTGCTCTGAATTTGTTGGAGTCGCGTCCACAGCATATGCATGTGTGTGTGTGAATATGTGTGTGGGGCCCTCCCAGGGTGTGTGTGTAAACCCTGGTAGACCTTTGTGGGTCCCGTGCCCCCCATTTCTGTCTTCCACCATGTCCCCTTTTGTACACCTGGTCCTGACCCATCTAGCCCTTGCAGACCCCGTGGGCCCCACCTTGGCTGGCGTCTGTGGCCTGGCTGGGGCACAGGGCAGGCTCACACCTTGCTGGTCGGCCACACTTGGCCAAGCCCCTCCCTGGAGCTCCCGGAAGGGCCTCACTTCCTCCATTCGTGTCCTGCACCAGCTGCAGCAGGATGGGGTAGTCATCCCTGCTGTCCCCACTGCACTGGCCTTGCCCCTGCCCCTCTAGCTCTGAGCTTCCAGTTCAGAAACTGCTCTTCCTCTGGCCCCTCTGTGCCTACCTCTCCCGTCCCTCCTGTGGCACCTGCAGCTCCAGCCACACCTGCCTCTCGAAGACCCTTGGACACACATGTGGGCCACTTCCAGCCTCTGCTGTCCACTCTGACCTCCACCCAGAAGGTTCTTCCCCCAAATGTCAGGGTTGACTTACCCTCTCGTCTCCCACAAGCTGGGGTCAGACTGCCCCCTCCCCTGGCAGGGAGTTTGTAATCCCTGTGTCCAGGCCACTGCCAGCCCCTCCCAGCCCATCCTCTTGGCTCTCGTCCTCTGTCCCCTGCGAGGACTCTGGTGGTGTCGGTTTGCTCACGGATGTCTCTCCCCACCCAGAGTCTTGTGTGTGTGCTTATTTTCTGAAACTCCTAGACCTGGATATGTGTGTGACACGTGCCATTCTTTTAGGGTTTTGGTAAGTGGGGAGGTGGTCGCCCTTCTGAGGTGGGGTCAGAGCCGTTCCTGCCCAAGGTCTGTGCGTTTGGCTGACCTGTCCTACCTTGTGTTCCCGTTTCCTGATTGGTTGCTGCCCCACGTCATTTGTACCCGGGGAGTTTGTGGTATTCCCTGATAGGTTCCGGCAGTTTCCCAGGTGGCCACCTAGGCATCTGCCCGGACTGTGTGTTGTTCCCGCCCACCTCCTTTTGTGTCTTGTGGTCCCTGTCCCCTCTGGTGAGCCTCTCCCACTTCCCCTCAACTTGGGTGAATCTTTTCATGTGGACTCTGTCCTGCCTGCATCACCAGCGGGGTGACCTTAGGCTGTCTCTGGGCTTCAGACCAGCCCTGCCAGCCCTGGGTGCTGTCTTGCTTCAGTTGCTTGGCTGGTGCCCTGGCTGGGATTTGGGCATCGTGTCCCTAAGTACAGTTGTCTCATGTTGGCTGGTCGTGCCACAACTCTGCCTATGCCGTCGGGGCGGCAGGGGAGCTGTCAGCTCCTCTCCACACTGGGATGGAGCTCCTGGGTCCAGCCTCACTTGTTAGTGCCCAGTTAAGGACCCTATTCGCCTCCGTTCTCAGTGGGGAGGCAGGGGGTGAGAAAGGAAACTGTGGGACCAGCTGGCTGGAAGGAGGGTCAGCAGAGAAGCCACTGAGGAGGCCCACCCAGGATGGAGCACCAGGAGGCCTGCCTGCTTGTGAGCTGGCGGGTGGCCATTGGCAGTCCCTCCCCAGACTGTTGCTGGAGGTGGTCTCCTTTTGCCTCTCTCACATTGGGGCCTATCCATTGGTGGCCCTGAGGCGGGCCTTGCTCATGTGTGGTGTGTGGGCCTCAGGAAGGGACCACTGGCAGCAGAGCATACTGTCCTTCCCTCCACAACTCACTGAGCATTTCTTTTCTTTTTAATTTATTGATTTCAGAGAGGAAGGGAGAGGGAGAGAGAGAGACAGAAACATCAATGATGAGCGAGTCATTGATCGGCTGCCTCCTGCACGTCCCCTACTAGGGATTGAGCCCTTAACCTGGGCATGTGCCCTGACTGGGAATCAAACTGTGATCTCCTGATTCATAGGTTGATGCACAACCACTGAGCCACACCGGCTGGTCTCACTGAGCATTTATTGAGCGCTGAATGCCAGGCCCAGATTCACTGAAGGGTTCGCTCCAGGCAGGGAGGCAGCCGGGTGATTGGACGGGTTAGTACCTGGAAAGGAAGCTGTCATGATAGCCGTGGGGGGTTGGCACGGAGGAGGCCAGTGAAGCACCTGAGGCCTGGCCAATGCCTGGTTCCTCCCCACGCAGCCCAGCAGCCTCATGCCTCCTCTGGGACGAGGTTTTCTCAGCCCTTCTCTGTGCTGGTCCTGTGGCTTCTTTCTTTGTCCCTGATCCCAGGACAGTGCTATGACAGCCTCTCTGGTGGTTCCATGGTAGGTAGGGCAGACGTGTGCCTCTCGTCCCCTCTGCATGTGACAGCTGAGCGGCAGCCGTTCAGGAACAGAGGGGAGCAGGGGACATGTGCTGTCTGGATGTAGAGGGATTGAGTCCTGGGGCCAGGTGTTGGGGGGGAGAGGTAAGCAGGGACTCTGAGAGGTGGGAGGGTGCTCCCTCCTGGGGAGAGAACCACAGGGAGGGAGCCCCTGCAGGGTACTCTGTGCCGTGGGGGTCAGATCTCTGAAGGTGGAGCAGGGCATGGGGGCTGCTGTGGGAAGTTTGGGCCCAAACTTGCAGGTTAGGGGAGTGAGCCAGCCAGGGTGGAGGGAATAGCTCTGCCAAGGCCTTGGGACAGATGTGCTGGAGGGAGTCCCACCTGTCAGGTGGGGTAGGTGAGGGCTGCAAGTGGACTGGCACAGGTGGGGTTTGGCTTGAGCTCCTGAAACGAGAGTTGTTGACTGAACCTTGAGTGGGTGAGGGCTTCTAGGCCTCCAGTCCAGGAGTTTCCGGGAGGCAGGTGGCCTTGGCCACCCACAGCCTTCTGGCCCCTAAAAGGAGGGGACTCCAGGCCTGGCTTTGTCCAGGGGGGACATTCATCCCATAGGGCCTCCTTCCCACAAAGGGCAGGAAGTGAAGGGGTGGGGCCCAGGTGCTGGGGCAGAGATCTCAGGGTGATTCCAAGAGTGGTGGGGTGCCCACCTGGCCAGAGGGTGGGACCGTGCTTCGGCCTGCAGGGCACTAGCCACAGGGCAGCCAGCAGCCGTGGTTCTAGCGAGGGGATATGGAGGTTGTGTTGTCAGTGTTATCCTCATAGTTGGTTTACTGGAGTGCAGTTAGATATTTTGTTGGTGCTGTATAATGTTAACGTTTAGGGAAACTAAAACATTAAACTGCTGCAGAAAAACCCAATCAGTGGTTTCAGGGCAGCGGGTGTCCACCTAGCTGTCTGGGAGTGTCCAGGGTGTGGGGGCTCCACAGCAGGGCCATTGCCTCAGGCCACCAGGGGTCACACACCGCTATGCTCTGCATTGCTTGCCACATAGGGTCGCTCTGCATTCAGATGTGGGTGCTGGGGGTCTGCATGGTGCTGTCTGCCTGTCGGTCAGGTGTGCCCGCAGGTGTGCATGACCCACGTGGGCTGCAGAGGTAGATCTCTGGGTAGACGTGACCCTGGGCTCTGCGGCCCTGCCTGGGCATCCCTTCAGGGTCTCCTCACACCAGCTTCTGTCCCCTTTGGTGATTGTGGGAGCAGGTGGCGCACAGGCTGGCTGGGGGTCCTGGACTCCAGGGCGTGGTGTCCCTGCTAATTGACTGGCTTTGCCCTCCTTACCCACAGAAGGACATGGCCCTGAAGCCACACGAGCGGAAGGAAAAATGGGAACGTCGCCTTGTCAAGAAGCCCCGAGAGTCAGAAACCTGCCCGTCTGCAGAGCCGAGTGAGAATGGCCGGCCGCTGGAGGTGGGCAGCCCCGAGCAGGACCTCGAGCCCACCTGTGACCGGGCAAAGAAGGTCCCTCTGCAGCCCGCCAAGCAGGTGAGTGCTGGGCCCCACCCCACTCAGCACCATGGGCGCTGTGCCCCTTTCCCCGGGCGCCCTTGGGCCACACCAGCACCTGGACACCACCCATTAGCAGCTGCCTGGCAAAGTGTTCTGTCATTGTCGGGAGTCGAGGGTGGGGCACACGTGGGCTGGGCCAGTAGTGCCCACTGTGAGCCTGTGTTCTGGGCAGAGGCAGGAGAGCAGCCCAGGTGGGTCACAGCCAGAGTGAGGCTGAAGCAGTTGGAGGGCGGGGGGTGCTCAGCAGGCCTGAGGGTGCACACTGGTAGGCTGGCCCCGTCTCCCCATCGCGACCGTCAGGCTCCGCCAACCACGGGGTGTCCAGTGTGTCTGTACCGCGGGACCAGGCTCGTTGCTGGGTGCTCTCCGTCTGCTCAACTTACTGAGGCGCAGTGTGTCTGGGGGGCACTTGTGGCTGGTGGTCTAGGGTGAGGAGCGGCCTGCCTGCTGCCCTGGGGCTTACAGCTGCTGCGTGGCCCTTAGTGGGAGGGGCTGTACTCGTCATGGGGACCCAGCTGGGGTGGGCGGAGCCGGCCAGGGCTTTCTCCCAGAGTGAGTGTGGGGCTCTGTCCCAGGTGTGGCTCAGCACGGCGACTGCTCCCTCTGCTGGGACTCGCGGGTTTGCGCCTTCTTTCCCGAGGGGTTCTTGGTGTTTCACACTCCACTCAACTCACCTGGGGACGGGGCTGCTGGTGCGGGGCCGCATGCCTGGGCCGGGCTGGACGGGGGGTCTGCAGGCACACTGGCCCAGGTGGACACGTGCTCTTTCTTCCATGCAGGTGTGCTCCCCAGAAGGGGGGCCGCTCCCAGCCAACCCCTGGGACCAGACCGGCCCGGCCCAGCGCCCGCAGCAGCTCCAGCCCAGCCAGCCCCAGGGGTCACTCCCAGCCCCGTGTCAGCGCTGCCAGCCCAGCCAGGCTCTCCCGGACCCTGGGCAGCCCTGCCAGACCCAGCAGCCACTCCTGGGTCAGCGCAGCCGGCCTCAGCCGTCACTTCTGGGCCCAGGTCAGCCCTGCCGGCCCCGGCGGTCACTTCTGGGCCCAGGTCAGCCCTCTCGGCCCCAGCGGCTGCTTCCAGCCCCAGATCAGCGCAGCCGGCCCCGGCGGTCACTCCTGCCTCAGCCCTACAGGCCACGGTCACTCCTAGGTCCCAGGCAGCGCTGCCGGCCCCTGCGTTCTCCCCCAGCCCCCTGCCACCTCTGCTGTCCCCTATGCTCCCTCCCAGTCCCTTGCCACCTCTGTCGCCCCCTGCGGTCCCTGCTGGCCCTCTGGCACCGCTGCTGCTGGCCCACGTGGCCGTGCGTGGCCCCATGTCCTCACAGCCAGCCCAGCAGGACATCCTCAGGACAGCGTTGTGGGCCCCTTCAGTCCCTGCTGGCCCACTGCCCGCACTGCCACCCCCCGCAGTCACTCCTCATGCTGCGTCCCCGCCGCCGGCCCAGCAGCTCGCTCTCAGGCCAGTGCTGCTGTCCCCGGCAGGCGCTCCTAACCCCGTGCCAGCCCCGAAGGTCCCTCCTGGGTCAGCCTAGTCACCCCCGGCGGTCATTGCTGGGCCTCCGTCAACCGCAGCAATTAGTTGAGGCCCCAGAGAAGCGCAGCCCCCCCAAATCTTCACTGCTGGGCCCCAGACAGCCGAGCCAACAGAAGCAGCCACTCCTGGGCTCAGAACAGCCTCACCCACCCAAGCGGCCACTCCTGGGCCCAGAACAGAACTGCCGACGAAAGCGGCCTCTGCTGCACCCCAAACAGCCCTGTCAGGCCCCACAGTCACTTCTGGGCCCAAGCCCATCCTGCAAGCCCCAGCCTCTGCTCCCCATCCCTAAGCGTCCTTCACTTCTGGGAGAGCCTGCCCCACCTCGCCGGCCACTCCTGGGGTCTCTGCAGCCTCGGCGGCGGTCCCTGCTGGACCTGGTTCAGGGCCACCAGCCCCAGCTCTCACTCCTGGCCCTGGGCCGTCCCCGCTGGCCCCTGAGGTCACGACGGACTCGACCCTCCACCCCCTCGGTGGCCCGCCAGGCTCCGTATGTGAGCCCAGGAGCCTGATGCCCTTTTTCCAGACCACCCCACCTGTGGCTTCGCTGGGCAGGGCCAGGGCTGCCTCACCTGCGGCCTGAGCTGTGTTGCCAGACTGGTCTTCTCCAGACAGACCGGGCTGTGTGCGGTTGGAAAACAGGCTCAGCAGAGGCAGGAGCCCCAGGCAGGGCTGCCACCAGCCCAAGGCCTGCCTGCACCAGGAATAGAGGAGAGGACCTCAGTGTCTCCTGCCTCTCCCCGTGCCCACTCTGCTCCCGTGCCCGCTTTGTGCTTTGTGACGCTCAAGCCCCTGGGAGAGGGGCTGCTGGGGGTCCCCCTGTTTCTCTGTGCCTCTAAAGTGCCACATGTCCTACGTTGGAGTCTCCATGCACGCTCCCCAGGTGTGCGAGAGTGTGTGTGCGTGCGTGCGTGGTTGTGTGTGACTGTGTGAGCTGCAGGCCTCACCTCCTCGGGCTTCTCCCATTCTGGTCAGTGTGCATTCTTCACCCCCAGGCAGAGTGTGGGCACAGCTGGAGCCGGGCCTCGGGTCCCACTTGCCTTCCCTCCACCTCCAGGGTCCTGTGACTTGGGCTGGGCCAGGGGCTCTCAGGGCCAACTGTGGTTGAGTAGAAGCTGCCCGGTGGTGAGGAAAGTCTCCCCCAGGACTCTGCTTCCACCCCAGTAGGCAGTCACTGAAGTGGGTCAGTCCCCTTCCCTTCTTCCTCCCCCAGCTCCACCAAGAATCTGTAGGGCCTGGACTGTGCTTGGAACGTCCTCGGACTCTGCAGCTTTCTAGTTGTTGCACCCCCACCCCACCCCATGTCCCCTGTTGGGACAGACCTCACACTACAGAGCTTTTCTGCCTCTTGCCCATCCTTGCCCCAGACCCTGGGCACAGGGCGGGCCCACACCAGTGCTGGGGTCCTGGGCATGAGGCGGGAGTTCACCCAGTTTTGACTGGACTCCAGAGGCCTGGAAAGGGGCTGCAGCTGTTTCATTGCTACTTGGGGTGTCTGGCCAGGCTCCGCTCAGCTCTGTGTGTACCCAGTGTCCCTGCTGTGATGACCACTTCCAGTGCTGGCCCTGTCTCAGAGGTGCCCGGTCTCTAGGCCTTCCTCTCCCTGATTGCTTTTGGGGGCCCTGGCCCTCACTGGCCCTGTGGGGTCCTGACCAGCCAGGCATGGGGTCCGTCCTGAGCCTGACACCCTGGTCCTCACCCAGGGTCTTCCAGGAACTTGGGGCTTATTTTTCTGATTAAAGAAAATAAAAGTGCCGTGCCATTATTTTTACAACAGCATCAGCGTTTGTGATTTAACGTGAGAGTGCATGCCGACCAGTGGTTTTCTGTGCACCTGGATTTGTTACTTCTGACCTGGGGGGGGTGGGGCGAGATGCGTGCGTGGGGCCTCTAGCTCGCCATCACTGCCTCAGGAACCGGCCTCCTGTCCTGCCCTGGACCCTCCTGACCTGTGGGCAGTATAAGAACCTCTGCCCGGTCCCAGCGCACCCGCCTGCCTGGGTGCCTTCCCAGGGGTGAACCAAGGGCATGGATGCTGCAGCCCCTGCCTTTCTGAGCCTTGGCTGCCCTGCCAAGAGCCTGGGGTGGGTGGGCCCTGGGCCTCTGCTGTTCCCTGTGTGGTCACTGGTGCTCAGCCTCCCCGCCGTCCTAGGCCCTGCGCCTGCAGTTCTTGGGTGAGGGTGCTGAAGCAGAAACGAGATGCTCAGTAACTCACCCAGGACAAGAGGACAAGCGGCTGAGCCAGGACTCACCCGGGGGTGCAGTTCTGGAACTTGTGCCCTTGCCCCTTCCTGGGAAACAGCAGCCTCCTGGCCTCCTGTTTTCCCGCCCCTGGGCTCGTCTCTCGCTGCGAGGCTCCTCAAAGGAGCCCATTTGTTCTGGAAGGTTCCCTCCACCCTCAGTCAGGGTCAAGGCCTGAGTCCTGGGCATGCCCCAGGAGGCCCTCTGTGGCCGGGCCTCTCCCCATCCTGCCCTCTGTCCTCTGGCTGACTTGCCTGTGGTTCAGGTCCCGCACCCTCTGTCCACCTCCAGACCCTCCCCATGTCCTGAGTGGTTGGGTGCTGATCGCCCCGTTTCTCATCTGCACCCCCCACCAGCCCTGGAGCCTTGAGCCTGGCTGGGCACAGAGAGGCAATGGGAGAGTTCTGGGCACACTGGGCCTTGGCCCGTCCATGCTGCTCCTACGCCTGTCTGCCCTGTCAGCTTGCTGGCCGTGTTTGGGGTTTTCTCAGCACAAGACAGTTGCTAGATGGGCTGGTGGAGTCCTTCCAGAAGGTTCCATCTGTCCTTGGAACCAGCTGTGCCACGGGCTGGCCATGTGACCTTGGGTGGCTCCTCGGTTTTGTCATCTGCACGTTGGGGTCATGACGTTCCTCCCGCAGGGTTTTGGGGATTTAAATAAAGTGTGAGAACCGTGCTGGGTGCTGAGTAGCCAAGTCGAAGTCTGGGTCATATGAATGTGAACAGCTCCTTCCCCTAGCCCTGCCTCACGCCTGGACTGCAGCTCAGGGCTGGCAGTGGACTCCCCGGGGTCCCCCTGCGGTCCCCTGCTGCCCCCTGCATGCCGTCCTCACCACGTGGCCCTGGTGTGTGGCTTCTCCAGCCTGAGGTGTGCCCACATCGGCCATGACAGTGGGTCAGTCCCATGGTGCAGATCTGGGATTCTACACACCCTCCCCATGTCTATCTCAAACCCCAGCACCACTTCTGCCCCCGTGGACTCAGGCAGGCGACTCCTTTCTGGGCCTGTGCTCCATCGTCCGTACCACAGGGATGTCGGTAAACTCCCCATGCCTCAGGCTGTTGAGGCAGAAGCCTGAGTCAGAACACGCGGTGCCTTTGTGTCCGCATTTGCCGCTGTTACTGATCCTGCCTCCTTACTGGACGGTGTCTCCCACCTCCTGGGCCAGCCCACCCGAGGTGGCCATCCTGGCACCTCGCTGACCTTCACTCCACCCCCTGCAGTGTCCCCACACCCTGCTGTCCTGTGGGGACGTTGGTAGCGTGTGGGACAGGGGTCGCCTCACAGGGTGCTGGGCTGCATGCTGGTCCGACCTGCGGGGAAGGTGTGGCGTCAGCGGGTGCCCGGACATCCCTGTGGTAGAAGACAGCTGTGGGACGGAGGGGAAGGCCAGGAGGGAGGCGGGAGGTCGTGGGACTAGGACTCAGCAAGGTTGACACGGTTTCCTGGGCGTGGGAGGGGGAGGGCCTGGGACTGGGATGGCGTCGATTCCCCATAGTTTCGTGAGATTAGATGTTACTTCCAAGTAAAAAGGAAAATTTGAGCAGGATTCTGGGCCACTCCCCTCATGGCCACTGGAACTCCATGGGCCTGTGCTCCTGTGAAGTGGGCACAGTGTCCAGTGGGGCTTTTGTGTGAGGAGCAAAGAGCTGCCCCGTGGAGCTGCCCTGTGGAGGGCTGCAAGCGACAGGGCTGAGGCACAGAGAGGTTGAGTGATGGCCCTGGGTCACACAGCCCGTGGCCATCCATACCCAGCCCTGCAGCCCTGATGCCAGCCTGGGATTGTGGGGAGGTCTGAAGGGAGGGGGAGAAGCCACCAGCCGGTCTTGGCAGCCTGGTGTAGTGAAGGGGTGTGGTGGCCCCCTGGGGAGCCTTAAAGTCATCCAGGGGCTGGAGGGGGGCACAGAGCTAGCTGCAGATTTGTCCCCTTGAGCCGCGTACTCTCCTGGTGTCTCCTTCCTGTCTGGGCTGTACATGGCACAGCAACTTGCCCCCCTCCCCGCCTCCTCCCCAGGTTCAGCCCCTTCAGGTGGAGCTGGGGGCCTGACCCCGGCTGCACCCCCTCCCTTCCCCGCAGCGGGCGGCATGCAGAGGGCTCAGGCCTGTGCTTGCTGAGCCATCTCTTCTGTCCCCAGATGAAGGTTGCAGTGTCCAGAGGGGGTGACCGCAACATTGAGGACGACGGCTTCCGCGAAGCCACCAGCTCCCGGCGGAGCACCTCCCGGGACCAGCTCAGTGATGTGAGTACTCTAGACGTCTCTCATTGAGCCTGGGGCAGGCCTTCCGCAGACACCGCCAGCTGTCCATTAAACAGCTTTTCACTAATCAGGGCTCTGTGCTTGGAGGGATTTAGATGACCCAGGTTCGAGCTGGCAGGAGCTGATGGAGGCTGTGGGGGGCAGGATTGGAGGGAGGCTGGGGCAGGGAGCAGAATGTCCTGGGGCTTGCATCAAGCATGGGACCGGCCTGTCAGCTCAGGAGGGTAATGGACATGGTGGGGAGCAGGGGTGTCCACTAGCCTCAGCCTGGATGCTGAGGTGGCCTGAGTCTGGGGACATGGCTTCGGTGTCCCGGAAGACCGGTCCCTGAGCTAAGGTTCCTGGAAGTGGGAGGGGCCTGGGACCAGGGATGGGGGACTGCATGACCCTCACCACTGGGGGTTTCAGGTCCGAGCTTGGAGGAAGGGGATGGAGCAGATGCAGGGAGGGCTAGGAGTGGGGAGGGGAGGGGTCTCTGGGGGAGGGAAAACGGGAGGGAGGCCGGTGGGGGGCCCTAGAGGAGGCCTTTGTCTTCTAGACCCCCAGCCAATGGGAGTGGCTACCCAGCAGAGATGGAATTGTAGGAGTTGTCCTCATTATCACTTAAATAGAGGCCTGGGGGGCACGGCTGAGGCCCAGGAGGCCTGATTGCCCGGCTGGGTCTTGTTGCCACAAGATGGGAAAATAGGCCGGTAATTGTCTGGGGCCGCAGGGCCGCCCTAGTTCCAACTCCTCTAATTGTCGGCCTGGAAGAACAGAGAGGATTCTGAGCACAGCAGGGCCGGGCATGAGGGTGCGAGATCGGGCAGCCACGGCACCCCATTCACCACCCCTGTTAGCAGGGCCTCCCAGGCTGGGGGCCGCCAGGGTGAACTCTGCCCAATGGGGACTCCCCGGAGCTGAGTGAGACCTGCCTGGCAAGGGTCTGCGTAGGGAGGGCAGGTTCCATAGCTGCAGCTGAGGCTGGACAGGGGTCCCTGTGTGGAAGGGAGCGGACCTCAGTTCCTACCAGTGTGCTCTTTACCTGGTCTGTCTGTGGGTGCCCCCAGTCACCATGCCCTGTCTGCCATTCTCTCTCTGTCCGCTCCTGCACCCCATCCCACCAGGCTGTGCTTTGGGGGTCAGCCATGGTGGGCTTGTGAGGCGCTCTCCCTGTGAGGCATGGGTGAGACCCGCCTCCCAACTGCTTCCTCCCATTGAACCCAAACCGTCACTTGAGGCAGAGGCAAGTCCATCAAGCCTGTCATGCACCCTCCGGACCTCCCAAGGCCACAGCTCACCTGATAGCCGAGGTCCTGGGGTTACCTGTCCAAAAAGCCTTCCTCCAAAAAGCCTTCCCTAAGCTCTCCCCTCACAGTCCCTGGGAGGCTGGTGGGTGGCAAGGGGTGGGCCAGCTGGGGCACAGAGGGGGGTCCCCTAAGACACATCACCTTGGGAGGGTTGGCCACCTGTAGGTAGGACCACGTGTGGACAGAACCACATGTAGGCAGAACTGTGTCTGGAACATGGGACCCTCTTGGGGCGGGGGTTGAGACCTGGCTGAGGGGTGAA